TTAATAGATTTCCAGTTCGCATTTCATTTACTCTGTATAGAATAAAACACATCATGCAAAAGAATTTCATCTGGCAATACTCTCTTATGACCTATTTATTACTTTTTAGTATTACTATTACCACTTATGTCATTTCATGTATTCAAAATGGATGTTCTATATTCCATCTCTCGTGACGAACAAAGGTGTTAGGTGCAGATTCGCAAAAATTGTTTTCTTTTTGAAATTGCAACAAATCCGTCTGCTCTCTGACCGATTTCTATCATCAAGTTGGTTTATTCGTCTTATTCCGTGTTTAGTTCTTTATCGGACGAACTCCCCATGCCAGACAAGCATATCCAGCGGGTTATTCGGGAAGTTGTGCTTTGTTTAAGAGGACTAAGGTTATGTATCACTGGATTGAATACTGAGGAACCCTCTTTTGAACAACACGGCGGTGTCGTTGATCGGAATCCTAGAAAATTGTAAAATAGAGCATACGCCTCCTTTGATCCGTGTCTTAGGTCTGTTGCTCCTAACTAATTTCCTTTTTCATTTTGTCAAAATAAAAGGTTAAACCAAAGTCACCTTCAAAACTAATCAGTGCTCTTGAACCGCTGAATAACAACTGAATTTTGATCACACTCAATGTGATCTAGAAACGCCCGCCAAATTTCAACTCTCCCCCTACATACATACACAATACATACATACATACATACATACATACATACATACATACATACATACGTACATGGTTACTTGGACCTTTTCGACAACATAGACATTGGATTATCACGACAAACGCTGATCAAGGAACGTGGCACACGTTGACGATCTCCACAAATTTCTTTTTCGATGGATGTATGTGGTATCGCATATATTTCAGTGGTCTGGTGGGTATGCAGAAGAGAATAAGATGAAAATGGGTGCTTCTCAGCATGTTCAGCTAATTCAAATGATAGAAGAATGTTGGTTAAAATTCGTCAAGTATATTATCCGCACTTCTGCTTAAAAGAAAGGCAGGCATTCGTAGCGGGATACTTTTTCATTTCTCGCTTTAAATGTCGGTCACAGAATTCATATTTAGTTTTATAGATCAACAGATATTCAACTATTGAATATAAAATCAATGGAACGATATATATACTGATTACCTAATCAACATCAGTGGAAACCAGAGATTGTAAACAAATTAACTAAATTCTCTACTCTCTATCTAAAAGCCTATGGTTGGCCGTGATCCCGTTCTGGAGTACCAGTTCCGAATCCATTGGATAGATTATGTACAATATTGTTATTCTATTTATACAGACTGATATCATCTCTAGTTTAAATATCCTTAAAATTTTACTGAATATGAAAATTAGTTCCCTATGTGAATGAACGGAGGAAAGGATGCTAGGTACTCCGAAGAAACGAAAGTTACATTGGTTTCAGGAGACATAAAGAGAGAAAACAGCAGATTTTTCTGACAAATAACATCAGAAAATTGGTTTATTTATGCTACCAACGAAACTGACAGTAGGGTTCACAGGAAATGTACTGCATTTGTGTCCTTAAATGAATTCCGTTTATCATAAGAGTGCAACTGACTGTGTATCACTAATGGTTCTACACATTCGAATGCCCAGGAATTTCGAAAGTAACCATCAAAGCTGATCGATAATCCGCACAGAGATGGTACGTTTTTACAAAGGAAGCTGATACTAAAAGGATGATCGTGATTTTTTTTGAAATACCAGACCAAATAAAAAGTAATATTCCTAGCCGTTTTTGTAATGTTTTGCTGGTTCAAATGAGTCATTATATCTAGGGGAAATAAAGCGTAAGCACATCTGCTTTTCCATGCTTGGACATGCCACAAGCCTTTTTGCCGCCGAATGCTTTTATGGAGCCAAAAATACTGTTAAAATTAAGACTGAGACGGCAAAGATACAGTTTGGTATGAAATCACAGAGTGGGGAGGAAACACGGTAAATGCGTGAAATAGGGTAATAGAATGTCTCTCAAAATAATTTATTAGTACGTCTGGTAGAGCAAAAACACAATTGATGTAGGACACCTAAGATCTGCCTCTTTATCGCAACACCCCAGATACACCGAACAGTTAGAAAGCTGACATTAATCTACACTGAGTTCGTTTATTACGAACTGCGCTTTGTCTGCCATTATTGAAAAAAAACAATGCGGACGACGCAAATTACTTCATTCCCATTGAGTCTGGATACACGTGTGACGCGCTCCTTCGGAATTCAAATTCTGAACTCAAAACCAAACAGTAATATGTACAATAGAGGTAATATGGCAGCACTGAACAGCCGTGTCGTCAACAATTTTTTCAAAGTAATCTCACTTTGTTATTAGTTGATCCATTTTAGGAAATGTTGAAATTTCAAAAATTCTAAAAGGTGCATTGCGGTTTGATCGTAAATGATGTTTGATTAGTTCTTCTCCTGTTCCTATGTCCGTCATAGTTCATACATTTTTTCATCTAAAGTTTACTGTTCAAAAATCTGCCCGGCCGTTGTTAGATTTCATAGGCATGAATCTGCCACCATCGGTTGTATCCAACTGAAATAAAACCGTGGGTGAGCTCTCGGTAGCACTGATTTCACTAACCACCATTCTGAATTCATTCCCGATGACAGCATCTATTCATTAATTCATCCATATAGTTGCGAAGCCCTAGAGCCAAGTTTTGCTCCTAGTACGGATCATCGGTGGTGCATATCCATGTTCCTGTGCAGTCTGGAAGCTCGGACCCCTAGCATGGCGGGTGCAAGAGGCACCCCCACACCAACCAACTCATAACTAGAGTGATCCCTATAATACATTCAACTTTATTCCGGTGTAATATTCAATGATAGTCACATCTAGTTTGGCGGGAGGACTTTAGTTAACGGAATTTAATTGTATTGTCATCAGTTTCCACTGGACCAAATTGACGATATATAATTGGTCACATTTGAACAAACTAAAATCAGTGATTTCGGTTCGTTCCCGTGTGAGCTGGTTGACTCAGAGATAATGCAGTGGTTATCCCTTCGAAGGAACCGGAGTTCTAATCTCAGAGCTGATGGTGGATATGTACTCTTATTGGAACGACAGAGAAACTTGATTTAACGCCTGTTTATGGTTGTCTCAATTAACTGAGGATTTTTTTGTGAATACGAAGTTAACAAATTTTAAAATTTTAAAATTTACAATTCATTCAAAAAGAATGGGTAATTATTTTGACTTTTCTCCTCGGAGTCGTTTTTAAAATAAAGCTCATAATCAAACACGTGGTACCATTCTCCTCTAAATGTTTTCAGCTCCTCTGAAAGTTTACGAGGCCTCAATCTCACACTGGAATAGGATGTCGTGAATTGCCTCTTTATTCATCTACGATCGGATTGTTTCTCTCTGCCTTCTTTTAACGGAAGTGTTGCCCTCAATTGAATGAATCGAGTTAACCCGACAAGCCTCCAAACTTAGCAATGGAGGTCGCAGAAACTTCATCTAGGAATTTCTGGTGGCAATGTTTACCGGTTCGATTGGGTCATAGTAAAACCTGAAACGAATGAACCATGCTCAATTGGTAATTAGTCTAAGGGTCTCAGACTACTACTCATTTTTCGAATAGAATATCAGACTGAATAATTGAGAAATCGTGAATAGTTCCTATTACACATATACACAAGAACGTACCTTTGTTGATTCATCTGGTACGATGTTTTTGATCGTTTGACAGCCACTTCGGCTTGATCTACACGTTCCGTTCCGTTAATGAGCAAACGGTTGACTTTTTCAACTCCTTCTCGCAGGGAATCACTTCGTTTCTTAAAACTGACCAAAAGCAAGGTAGAGTTCGAACGTAGGGGTGAGCATTGCAGTTGGATGGGGATGGATCGGGGGAGAGGGAGGAGGAAAAAGGAAATTAAGTGTAGAAAATGTTCGTAGACACACCGAGACTCCACAGGTGAAGTGGTGAATTCTTTGTCTCGAGTAAAACACCCTTTTTCAAAGTGAACAAGAAGAAGATGTCACCGATAATAATAATGCTGAAGTAGTACGAAAATAAGCTATGTCGACAACGTTGTGCTGTTAACATGACGAAATTCACTGAAATAAACCATTTGGTAATGGAAATCGTTAGGAAAGTGCTGCGGTCAACCGGTGATAGCGTCATCGAACTATCACACAGGAGAACTTCTGTTCGGATCCCACCAGCAACGCCCGACTAGCTATTGTGTGTTGTGTGGCAGCCCAATGCTTGGCCGCTTCCCTCTACATGAAAATTGTCTCATCATTTATTCAGTAGGAGCAAGTGAAAAGTGAAAAATAATGCCTACGTAATCTCTTGTTATAGAACATGATACTCAACGGGGCGGCACTAGTGGTTATTCCACGGTTTTCTTAGCTCTATTTAAGTCGAATTTCATTTATGATCAAAAGCAACCTTCCCATACTCCCTCTCGAAATAGCATACCTGATAATGCTTGAGGTCGGATTGTCTCCTGGAGTCAAGGTTGGTCATTCATGAAAAGCTGAATTTTCCTATGTCGTGTGTGAAGACGAGCAAAACAATGGAACTAAATGACCCGGAGCATCGAAGGTAAGCATTCGTTTTTTGCCACGGGTCCACCAATGAGATGGCTAAGAGTTCTGTCCCAACGATTCATTCAAGTCCATTTATTCGGCAGAAATACATAAGGGGGAGTAGTTAAAAACGGTGTTCCTGCTCGACGCGCTACAGTCGACCACAAATGTCCGCTGGATGGGTTCATTCAGAAGGTAAACAAAGCTTTCAGGATAAAGTTGGTGAATAAATATGTAAGATGTGAATGTAATTTTCGAAGACTGTTCAGTTAGAGTCTACAGAACTCTGCGCGTGCTTGTCGGACCTATGCCATCACGCTCACCATAAGGTGATGATAATCAAAAGCGTCAAATTTAATTCTATAGTTAGTTCATATCACTGCAGAAGAAGCGATTGATTGTTTGATGTTCATGTTATCGACCTCGGAGATGGAACTGATTTAACACACCAAACAGCACCACGAATTTATTCAATCTGGTACGAGTGCCCGTTTGTGTACTGTGCTAATATCTGCAGGAATTAGCGCGCTCAATGAATTGCTAGAGCATGTGCGTTCCCCCTAAATGAATCTTACACTGGCCCCGCTACGTTAAACTTGACGTACTCCATACCTGACACTGTTTATCACCTTAATCGATCGGTTGGAACGGCTGATGCGAGCGCATCAGGACTCCATGTCGCAAGTGCGAATGAGTGCTCCCCCCCATTACACAAAGATGTGTTTGTGCAATTGCGAAACAGGCAGTGAACTGGAGCAGACCATAGACCAGGTCAGTCCAGACCGAGGCCGAAGCAGAGTCAAGATTGCAAGCCATATGAGGCACGTCTCCGTTTGGCGAAAGTCTGGGGTGCTTGCATCGACTGTAGGGTTGTTTACCCTTACGCGTCCAATAAGTGGAATTACACTACCATTCGGACTAAGAACCGGAATGACAACAGAATGGTGGTGGTGGTGGTGACGGGGCCTTTAAAGACGAGGTTCGTTAGGCGGGGTTAGACCAAAAGTATGCGCTAGACGGTATACGCAGAAAGGCAGAGAGTGAGAGACAGCGTGCACACGCGAAACCAGATAGTTGAGGGTTTGGGGCTATGACTGAGCGGGTTGTTAGTTGATCTACTTGAATGACCCATTTTCCATCCACCGTTATTGATTGTAGCATTTTGACGTCGGCGATAGCCTTCAAACGCACAAACATTCTCTCTCATATACAACTTCGCAGGGGCAAACTGAACCTAATAGGTACACATACACACACACAACAAACACAAGCATGACTGTTGTGCGCATGCCTGCTTTTCTTTATACTCGTTCTTGGTCTGCCTCATGTCTGATGTGGGTATTTGTGTTGTTGGTGCTCCGGAATGGACATAAATAAACGCACACATATATTGGGATGACCTTGAGCTGCGCCATCGATTGACGACGGCGACAAAAACAACAACAATTACTGGTCCCAATTACTGGATAATACCACGGATAGGTGAGATCATTTGAGCAACTGACCCAAGTAAATGAGTCACTCACCTTCCGACTAGTTCGGCGACATCGTTTGCGGTCTCCGTGAGTTCCTTGTCCGTGTCATTCAACGAAACACTTCGACGCAACTGTTCTATCGTATCGGCAACATCCGACGTGAGCAGAATGGGCAAAGCGTTGTTCACTTCGTTCTGTAGCCGATCAATCACCTGATCAATATCCACACCGTTGCACAATGGCTAAAGTGAACGGAGATGCCGTTGAATAAATTATGGACATAGAAACATTCGGTATTCTAAAGTATGTCCTCGAAAAACTTGGAATTGCTATAAAAATATAGACTGGAAGGAGAGGCGTTAGAACTTGCAGTCTAGGAACGGAACTCGGGTAGCACTCACCGGCTGTGTCCGGATCAAGTCTGCCTCTTGCTTAATGTTGTCCACTTGCCGTACCAGGGATTCAATTGTTCTTGTCAGCTGATCTGGATGTGTGATAGAGCTTTGCGCTGCGAAAAGGGAATAGCGATAAAATAATAGGGAACTACGCATTCTAAAACATCCAGAAATTTCCAATACGAAACAACCTAATACAAGATCTTATTTAATTGACTGTTTGACTCAAATTCTATAAATACCGATTTGGGATGAAAAAAGTAAAACCGAAAAGAAAGTACACCTTTTCCCATCAGGATTTAGCCAAAAGCTGCAACTCTTCAGACATGATCCACAACCGGATACTTTTGCCTCGACCCACAATTCCGCAATGCCACGATCCGTAGTCCTTTACCCTCGACACACAAGCTTTAGTCACACCGCTGTAGACGAGTCAAACCAAAAGCTATCGGAATATTCTGATGTCAACAAATGTTGAAACATTTTATTTTCTACTAATGCTAACGTTGCAAGGTTGGTTATATAAGGAGAAGGTGTGATGACCGCATGTTATGCAACTGACCATCAAATCTGTATCAAATGCAGCACCAAATATGCATTGGAGACGTTTTAAACGATGCACCAGTATTGTCTAACTATTGGGCATATCTCGTACGGCTTTACTGTTTTTGTTGAACCCTTTTTAATGTGCAACAATAAAGCAAATTAAAGAATTAAAAACCCTTACCTGTTTGAATTTACTGAAGGCCTCTTCTGATAGATTAAAAATGAACTTTATGGTAGATGAAATCGATTTTGGTGGTTGCCATGTAGCGGCGTATCCAAAGCCCTCCGATGAACCTATTGTCATATATACAAACAACTGGAACACCTGCTTGCTCAGTAGTGATGAATGAAGGGCGGCTTTATAGAAACCTTTTGAAAACAAACCAAGTATCCTTTTTATGACGTTCATACTTCACGATACCGGTGAAAGATGAAAATGCTATTACGTAAAAGTTGGGTCCTTTGCTGAATACACGGCTTGGAGCGGATTTACAACCCACTTTGGAACACCCATAGCTGAGAAAGAACCGTATGTTGTAGATGTTCTCTTCAATATACAGCCTCATTGTTGCGTTATCCAATTGTTGTAACCAATCGGTATATTCCGCTTGTTTAACTTTAACTGTTGCTGAGTTATGTTCCACTAGTTGGATAGTCAGCTTCTTAATTGACTAGCGATGTCCATCCGGCAATCGAGCATTCGAACTCTTAATGATTGAGGTACCCAGGAAATCCTTCTCCATTCTTTCCTTTAACTGTCTCAGTGTGTTTGTAGGATTCTCACAGAAAATATCACACAAATATTTTGTGGACTCGACGTTCAATTTAACCTTGGAACATCCAGATCCGTGGCTGCAAAACAACAACATGTTTTGATCTTAAAACAGAAATGTTTGACAACCTTTTCAAACCATCACCTCAGCCAGCATATTCAATTACTCTCGTCGGTCTTCGGCGTTGGTGAAACGACAGAGCATTTCTGTTTATTCCGTTTAACGGCCTCCATATTTTCGATACGTACAGCGGTAGGTAAGGTAAGAGAAATAATACTGCCAACTATCTTGGTGTGTTCTTATAGCCCCATTACCAATGAACCGAATGCGGCATAACGTTACTACAAGGGAGATATAAAAACGCGCCAATCCTGTGGGTGAAATTTCCAACCTTAATACAAACGATACATTGTTTTCCATTCGCAAGCCCTTATAATAACCAAAAAGTGATACTACAAACCGTGTCTCCACTGAAAGTGAACTGCGTTTTTAAGGAGTGGATATATTAATCGTCGGAGGATAACAAACATCGTTCACAAAATGACACCTCCATTATTATTATCTGTTTATGATTGCTGCAACATTTGACATAGTTAGGACGGTCGAAGGCTCACTAATTGCGGGTTTTGTCTAAAGCTTGTTGGGCAGGTGCGTACTTTGTGGACGGTGTTTATTATCCTCGGAATTTTTATTATGTCCACCTCTCGGAAATGGAGTTCACTCTAAGTGGATATATGGCACTGAAACATCTTTTTATTATATTATTATATGATATATATGATATATTTTTATATCAATTTATGATTCACGTCAGGTCTTGTGAAGGCATTCATGTTTGACAATCCTAAAGAATTGTTCCAACTTTGTTTCTTGATATCAAGAATCAAATCTTTGTTAGTCATTTTTCAATTGATTATAATTTCTACTCAATTATCCATTCTAACACATTTAGAAGCACTCAACATGAGAAAACATGGAAGGGACAACACACACCAACACCCTTGTGTTCCGTAAAAAAATCTTATTTGCTACTTCACCAAGAGAATAAAAAACTGTCTTTGACAGATTTTATTGAGGGTAAAATCACAAGAATAAAGAATGTTTTTCTAAAAATGATATCCTCATTTGCTCATTCGCAGGATTATGATGATCCAACAACTCAAGCCAGCATGTGAAGCAGTCAACAGAAAGGCTGATTTTCTCTCTAGTCCACTCACGGTAGATATTATTGTGAAAATATTCAGAACATGGTTAGGACTGTCAGTAGATGGACTAGGTGGTACGTTTGCGTTCTATCGTGGGATCGCATATTTGATCTCTGGTTGAATCCATGGATTCACACTGCGGAAGAAAGTCAATGAGAGCCATTCAGCTCCAAAATGTTTCCTGGGTCTTTCCTTTTTGGGTTCTCTGTTCTGTTTATGATGAACTTTGTCGTAAAAAGACATTCACCCTTTTTGTGCCTAGCCACTTCACAAGCACTGATGATGTCAACTCGGCTGGTGATAAAACGTTTGCAAACAAATTGTCAAGCTCGGCGTACAGGCGAAATAGAACACCTGTAGCTCACCTATACAGCCTTTAAGGTCTAACCATGCGACGTCTATCTGATCACATTCCAAGCTAGCTGAATCGGGCATTGGTAAGAACCGGAACGACAGTATTCACTAACCTTCTGAGTGAGTTTTGGTGCGAAGCGTTCCGTTTTCATGATACGGCGAAACGAAGTTTGAATGTTTAAATCCTAAGTGCCCCAACTATTTTGGTATCAGTATACATGACTTGCAAATCGTTTGAAGACATTTCGAAATTAAAAAATCGAATGAGGATAACATGATGTCATCAGCGATTAGAATCTGCTTATTCTTTTCACTTGCATAAAACGTGACAACAGCGTTCATGGTGCTGTTGAACGTAGTCCTTTATTCCAATGGGACTGTGCAACGTTACTGCGTGACAAGTACGAGCAGGAATCCAACACTTACCTCCTATATCCAGCACGGTCCGATATAATGTAACCACAGTGCTGTTCAACTTGACAATTTCCATTTGCAAATCCTTATCATCTGGACCAATTGCACTGCCAGGTTTCGAATCCGGTCGAAGTGGACCGAATACTGATTCCAACATGCCCCATAATTTAGCAACACGGGCTTGGACAAGATTGTAACAAGCAGGACAGGGAAGGCAACCGGCTTCAAGGTTGTAATGATTTTCCTGATGAAGAGTTGAACACACAAGTATATACAGAGGAGATGATAAATCACTGAAGATGTGGAGTTATATGGTTCAATCATTTGTTTTTCGAGTGATGTAATGATTCTCTTTGTCGTAGGAACACTTTAGCTATCAAGATTGATATAAACTGCAGATTCCGGCTCTAAAAATGAAAAGAGTCCATGATTTTCCCTGGGTATGTGAATACTTCAGCTATATGCAATCCAGAGTAATTTTTGGTTCGAAGAACATCATGCAAATTTGTGTTTGGCTTTCAACTAATGTTCATCATTGTGAAACTGTGCTTTTGGTTGTTTGAAGTTTCATAATACCATTTTCAAATTCCATACTACTATGTGGCGTAAGCAAAATTAAGGAAAATTGTTTTTCTCAGTCTAAGCCTCTCCTACGAACGCTGGTGATAAGTCACTGCTACTGGCTAATGAATCTGACTGAATGATAATGACGTTGGGCATTGAAATGGTTAACTGGTACCTCACTCAGATACTTTCAGCCTTTGCACAACTACCATTCTTCTTCTTATCGTACAAAACAGATTAATCAAAAATAAATTTTAACCCAATTGTGTGGTGGACTTAAGGGAGCATGCCTTTTCCTTAATTTTTTCCGCTAAAAGCCGAAACTTCATGTTAGTTTTGCCACGTGCAATATCAAGCAGATTGTCACAAATTTTATGACCGATGCTTATAATATGTAAGTTTTGCGGAGGTAGTTGGTAGCATTCATGACACTAAAAATGCAGGTACAAGGCTAACTTATCAATTTTTTCTAGTATTATCAATTTATCAACGAAAATCATAAATGTATTTGATGTTTTCCCTTTTTCTAGGGTAGAGAAGCAGATAGAATGATTTCATGAAACACGATAGACTTACTTGACACTTGTCACACTTTTTCCCAACGGCAAACGGTTTACACTGGCATCGTCCGTCTTCGTCACACTGATTGCTTTCCGAACCGTATGGATCGCATTTGCAGTCCTGACAACCGTGTAGACTAGTCAGGTTGAAATAGCCCGGAAGGCATTTGTCACACTGACGTCCGGTGACGAAGGGGCGACACTGACAATGGCCCGTACGATCATCACATGCCTCGCCAACAGCTCCGATCGAATCGCAATCACACGGTTTGCAGCCCTGCCCAAACGTAAAGATCATTTTGAAGTTCAAACTGACTACTCGTGAGTAGTGTCAGTAAAGAACTGAAACATTTGCATCCGTGTCGCTGGCTACAAAACAGCTTAATTTACGTAACGTTGAATAGTCCTTTTGGAAAAGTGGTCGAAGTTTTAGCTATGCGAGTATGCCCCACTCTCTGAAATGTACTACTTCAGTTCAACAGTTTTATTTTAATCCTCATTTTAAACACTAAACATTAGATAAATAGAGCATAACTCAAGGAGTGTACGGAACCGGTAATGCCAGTTTGAATGGTAGAATGGCGCAAAGTTAAAGTAATGAATCTTTAATAATGCATGTGGGAGAAGGAATTGGAAACCTTTTACATGGTGTAATCTCGCATAATTTCCTACTGAGATATAATTGCAATGAAATTAATTGTGGATGCCATAATTAAAACGTTATTTGAACTAAGCATTTCAATTGAAATCAGATCCAGTTTTTTCAATGTGCAACAAACTTAACGAGAAACAGATTTTGTGTCCCGAAACATAATGATAACTTTCAAAGTCTCGTTTATATCCTGCCATTCACTTCAAGATGACAATTTGCTCACTAGGTCGACTATTGTGAGTACTTTGTTTTCATAATTATTATGATAACCAGATTCATCAATCTTGTCACATACCTGCCCTGTTTGATAGCCATAAAATCCGAGATAGCACTCCTGGCACTGCTGTCCACCAACGCCCGGTTTGCACGGGCACTGACCTGTCTCCGGATTGCACACACCAATTCCCTCCGGACCGTAATTGGCCAGGGTGCCCAACGGTTCGCAGTAGCAAGGACTGCAACCTCGTGCCGGGATCAGTGTACCGTTGGTGACACCGGTTTCATTCAGTTGTTGGAAATTGCGTCGATAACCGGGCAGACAAAGCTCGCAATGACGTCCAGTTGTTCCGAACAAACACTTCAAACATTCACCAGTGGTCCTATATTCCGTTTTTGAAAATCGCCACCGAGAGACGCAGAAGGTTAAACAGATCAGTGAAGAACGATTGCGATCAGTAGAAAAGAATAAAAAAATTCACTGAGATTATTAGGGAGCGTGAGCTGTTCTAAGCGCGGGACAATAGTTTATTCTCAGCCGTTCATCAGAAACTATGAGTGCATACCGTGCTTTCATCATGGAAGTGAAAGCATAAAAACGAGTGCAATAAAAGGTCTCCGTACCAGCATTATCTGTATGTTTTTGTGTGATTTGGGAAAAAACGCGTGTAAATCTCATAAATTAATATCAAAAGCGGATTTCCTTTAAACCTTCAATGCTTCTTAGTTGCTTGATAAGTAAAATTTCCTGCATTAGCCTTATATGGGGTCGGTTGCAAGGACTTGTGGTTAGCGTATGTGTATTCCGGTTTCATGTACTTCAGGAGCTTTGATAAGTCATAGTGTTTCTATGTC